AAAAATTATGAGTGTGCTTTAAAGTTTAATTTGGTTTTATTTCAGATTATATTTTTGGGTAAAAAAAGTTCTTCAAAATTCTCATGTAGTTTTTTTTTATTAAGTATGAACTACTAAGAAAATGTTTTAGAAGACYATGTTAAAAAATTTTCCACTTGCTTACTTTCTATTTTTGAATATAAAATTATAAATAAAGATTGTTATGAGACATGTTTATTTTTAAAAGCATAAAAAATTTCTAAAAAAAAGTGATACATAAAATATGATAAATAGTAGAGTGATTTACCAAGTATRCTCAGTTCTTTTTTTTGTTATTACCTATTCAGTTATTAATAATCTGATTATTAGAACTTCTATACAAATTTCTGTATTCAAATTAGAAACTAACCTTTTAAGTGTATACCAATTATTACCCAAGCATAGAATAATAATTTGGTGAAATTGTACTAATATTTAATTATTAAAACTCTAAGTACTAATTCAATTACCATTGTTTGAATTATAACTTTAWGTCTAAAGTACCTTACGCTATAATTCTTGTAACGGGAATCAGCTTGTATGTAAATATTTATTAACCTAATTTAAATCATGATATAAATGAGACTAATGTTGTATTTTATATGTATTAGTTATAATTTACCATTATTTTGATAATGAAGGTTTTTAAACAATCAAACATGATTTTCTGGTTAAAATATAAAATTTAAGTATTTTTAATTTTTACATTCTCTCTCCTAAATATTTATATTGACTAATTAGTGTTCAAAATAAAATTATGAAAACTGTTAGAATTTTACTTTTACTTTATTAAAGCAATGTTGGTTTGGCCCAGGGTTKACTGATCGACTTAAACATTGCACAGTGATTTTTATTGTTTAAATAAAGATTAATGTTTTCGAAGTAGATACATTATAATAATTTATATTAACTTCAAAATAAAAAATATATAAGCCTAACAATTATTGTTTTTAGATTGGCTTATGAAAACTAATCGTGTTTACTTTATCTGAAACTTGATTTATTAAAAATGTTTTAAAGCTTTTATAAGATGTTTAATTTTACAGACATTTGATGATGGTATATCTATCAAAATTTAATTACACACATTTTAATCAGTATTTTTATTTTGTACGTAATTTGTTTTGTAATTTTTTTTTAGACAAGAGTCAAAATTTGTAAATATCTATTATAAATGTATATTGTTATACATATATAGGCTACTTATATTACAATGTACTAATACACCATATTATTATTGTATCACTAATTTAACTACATTAAAATAGTGTATGAATTGTATCTTGACTAGGTGCTATTATTGTATATTAATCTGTGACAATCTGCTAGTGTTTAATTAATTATGAGGTCAACACAAGTTCTTAATTATTAAAATTCGATAAGGAAGTACTTACTTATATAGAATTCATACTTACCAATGTTTTGATTGATTTCTAATAATTATTATAGGTGAAGTTTGTATTGAAATGCTAGAATTTCCTTTAAATAACAACAATACTAACAAATACAATTACAGTGAAACCTGACTTAACGGACACCTCTCTTAACGGACAAAATGACCAGGTCCCGACAAAAAGATAGGCATTCCAATGTATTTCGACCTGTCTATAACGGATTCCTTCTATTATAGACACGGACACTAATATTTTACTTGACAATTTCATAACGGACAAAAATAYTACATACATACAACATTGATAAGAAAYGCAATTAGGACATTAGGTGAAAACACGGATTACCACCAATTACATTATCTCCTATTACGATAACACTAATTGCGAGTACCTATTGAATTTATAAAGTTTAAATTTGTACAACAATTTAGGTTAATACAATTTAACAATTTTTATTTTTTTTTTTATTAATGATACCCTCGGCAATTGGGTCATGGGCCATTGGGTTTAAAGTGAAAAAATTTAACAATTTATAATGTGTCATTGTATGTATKTATTATATGTAATATAAAAATAATAATTTAAATTAAATTTATAATGTATGTGCATAATATATAATACATATTAATACCTAGTACATATTATAAAATAAAAAACAATAGAAATGTACGTACAAATTGTAATTTTTAAWACATTGAAACCTGTCTACAACGGATACCTGTCTATAACGGACAATTATTTTGGCCCCTGACTGTCCGTTATATACAGGTTTTACTGTACAATTGTTTTTAACATAACTATAATAGTTTATTAAACATTTATAATACCAATGATAGATAATATAAAAAGTTGAAAAATCAATGATTTATATAATATATATATATATATACATTATACTAATACTATTATATTATACTATTTATCATATTATTTGCATTTAATAAGTAAATTTATAAAAACTAGAATCTACTTATTAGTCATAAGTTCATGAACTTTAGTACTTTAAAGTGAAKAATTTAAAAGTACCAAACAATAATCAGTAATATGAATTTGTAGTAGGGTTTCGTATAAAACATTCACTAAAATTAATAATACGTTAGTTTCATCATGATACAATACTCCTCACTAGGTAGGTCATAATATAAAGTACCTAATAGAGTATATATCCAATGGTAATAGCAYATGGTTTATACCACCATTATCTATTTGTTTAATGATTTAAATAGGTTCTAGAATATAATCCAACTATTATAGTGTTATCAATTATTAGTAATTAGTAGTAATTATTAGTACGATAAGTATCACTATCTTGTATAGCACTATATTCAATATTACGTAGGTAATACGTACGTAGGCATCTGATCAACACAACATTTACTACCTACTGATATAAAAAAATAAAAAGTTATAAATATTTTGGTAATTTTGGTTACCATGATTAAGGTAGAATTAAGTAGCTATTTTTTATAAAACTACTATTTACCATCTATTTTAATCAACGGATTTCACAATCCAGATAATCAACATAATAAATCAAAAAGGTTATTACCTACTTGTTTTTAAAATTATTGTAAGCAGTATTAATATATTATTATAATATGTTATGCGTTTAGTCATAATTCTATTGTGGATTATTGTACTTAATAATAATAATAATTTATTCAACTCAGGTAAAATACAAAAAAAGAAAAAGAAAGCAAAATAACATAAGTAATTAGGTATTTAAACTGAGCTGATTACCTTTCTCTTTAAGCATGCTTGTGATGAGAGGGGGAAGTACTTAGTACATAATGCTTAAAAACTCGGTAACTACCCGTTCGAATTTGAATTTGTATACATCAAAATGCTCAATAATATTATCAACTTAATATTTATTATTTAAACTAAAAGAGATTTGGGGAGGTTTTCATTTGAAAAACAAAAGATATTCCTAAGTGGAACAATAGTCTCAAGAATTTAAAACATGGCTTAACATGYTTTTTAAACTGCCTATAGGCATCAAATGACCAAAGGTCTTTACTCTTTATACATACAATACGTTGTAGGTTAGTTCAATTTGATAGTTTATTAGTAATAATAAAATAATAGTCTAGGTCCAAACGAAACAAAAACAATACATTTTTTCAAACAATCACAAATATTAAAGTTATTATAAGTTAACAACAACAATTTTGACATGTACATAATAAGACACAAAATGTCCAAACATTTACATATTTATTTTGTATATTAAAATTAACAWTTTTTTTYTCTTTCTTTCTAATTATATAAATTAATCCAACGCTAATGGCCCATAGTAGTCGAAGCGGAAATTCTTTGTAAATTTCAAGACCAATAAAAAAAATAAATAAAAATGAAATAATAATAATTAGGTACTTAAATATAAATTATACAAGAATAGTTTGGGGTTGCGCCTCTATTGAGATAGCCCTATTTAAGGTCATTAAGTAGGTTTATTTAAAAACTCCATAAATGTATCAATCAGATTTAATTATCTGGATTACCTATTAAAGAAAAAATAGTTCTTATTGAATTACCCTGTATATATACTATAAGCGGTATAAACTATAATAAAAAAAAACATTCAAAAATGGATATAGAAAAAATATGGAACTTATCTTGAAATATCACTTAGTATAATTTAGTATTTATACATCATAATTATACGTACTGATCAATCACTTTGATGAACTGAGTAATACTATATAAGTATATTACTTTAATTATTTGCTTGTAATATTTAACTGTACTATACATAGATTTTCTAAGAATTTAATAAGGTTATTTTGGTGATATTATTGATTATTCGTAATTCAATGTTATAGTATTCTTTGTATTTAATAAAATCATTAAGATAGCTAAAAGCAGCTAGAGCCTAGAATGTATGAGGTTAGATTTGGTCAAAGTGTTAACATTACGTGACCAAACAATCAATCGTGATCCATTAGCTTAGTTTTAGTAATGTATTCTACCCTCGAGGAAAAAAAAAACAATGCTTTTAATTTAACATTATAGTGAAAAAAGGAAACTGGAGTTATTAGTCACGTACTCACGTATATTTCAAAGGGCAACTTAATTGAATAATGAATTTCATTATTAAAACACTTTGGCTACAACCTATGCAACCACACATGGTATTTTTAGACCATTTGAATATTTAAGTTGTTTTTACACTTATTATATGTTTAAAAATTACTATACACTATCTATAAAAAACTAAAAGTTAAATATATATTATTTTGAAATATTTTAGGTTAGAAGAAGCATTATCAATAACGATAATGCTTTTGATAATTGTATTTTTTTTTAACTTTATCTTGTATTATATTTTGTCATTTATTTAATGAATTATTAATTTATTTAAAACGCGTTTTTAACTGATGTTTATCAGGTATAATTAGTATATTTCTCATTTTTTCCTTGCATACATTTTACTTAATGTAATAAGCCATGGCAGAACAAGTTGTTTATGTGAAACAAAATAAAAGTATCGTCGTATACGAAAATAAGTTTAATGGCTTATATTTTATACATATATTATATACTYGTAGATATATTATTATTAATGTGGTATTTTTCTTTTTATAGATGAGTGTGCTTGTGCCGATTGAGAGGGGCGATCCAGTTGGATCACAGGGTGGGTCGCCACCGTGCACGGCCAGGCACAGGTTCACTCCTCCTGGAAATCCCAGCACTCCGACAGACCCACTGCCTGTTCCTCCGGACGTTTCCGAACCAAACGCGGCCATTGAAACGCAAGTGTCGGCCGCTCATAAGCATCCATGCATATCTTGTTGGTGTTGTTGTTGCGGATGCTCATGGTAAGACAATATATATTTTTATAATATTAGGTAGGTACCTCATTAATTTTAAAAATATAAAAATATTCAATAGTCGTTGCAGAATAAGATTAAAAAGTGTTTGTTTTTTAATTTTTAATTTGTTTTGTCTAGATCCAACAAATTTAAACAAGCAAAAATTATTTCATAATGTTTTAATTTTCTAAGTAAAGTAATTAATCCCTTCTAAAAGCCTATTCAAAAGATAATACAATTTTGATTCTATTTTATTAGTTGAAACTTAACATTAATACATATAAATTATAATAC